GAGCTTAAGGATTCAAATAAAACAAGTCCAGAGCGATGGAATAAAGTCTCCTTAGATTTTTTACAAATTGTCTGTCCAAACATTCCTCAGCATGACAGTGAAGAGTCTCTCACCAAGGAAAGGAGGATCACCCACATGCCGAGCTACTCAAATCCGACCCGGCAACTGGTGAGACCCAAATCCTTTGCGGAGGATGAGCGCCAAGTGTTGTTTGAAAGCCTCGACAGCTCAGCCAGTAACTCTCAGCACTGTCTACTGTCGTCCTCTGCATTCCCCACGTCTCCCCCCCGAGCCCGCCTCATGGTCCCACCGCCACACAGGAGGGTGAGACCACAGCTCTTTTCCACCCCTGCTTCCAACCTCGTTCCTTGTTCCCTGCTTACTACTTGAGTTATGCTTTGCTTTTCTAACAGCTGACACCCCAAGCCTAGCAAGTCATCCACCTCTAGTTCCTCTGCTTTCTCTTTAAGTTTTCTTACAAGATGATTAAACTGTTGAACACAGATGACTTTTTATACATTGAAAATGCACATTTTTCTGAAGGAGGGTGTGACAACCTTACGCTTTTGCTTCACCTGTTTACTCAAAGATTAAGTGATGGCTGCGTTTAGAAGCATGACGTTTGCCATGCCAGGTAACTGAGTAAGCGATGACTTGTGAAGGCTTGGGGTCTCGCTTTATAATAAGACTCTTGAGGAATTTAAAGCGACATCCCCTTGATTTTAACGATTGTTGCTCTCTTCTGTCATTAAGGAAGAGGAAGAATTTCCCAAGCTTTTTCCTGTGAACGGTAAGTCGTTTTTATTCTCATGAATCCCCTCAAATGTTAGACTCAGTACAACTCCCTCACGCAACAGTGAATATTTACGACACTCGTGAACAACACAACTGAGCTCAGCTTGCTTGATTGATTTTTTTGAATCTTTGTTTGCAGGTGAAGAGTCTTTGAGGAACTGCTTCGAGTACTTTGAAGAAATGGATGTCACCTACCTCAAGAGATTCTTCCGTAAGCTGGGGATGTCGGACAACGTGATCAATAGTAAAGAGCCCCTTCTCTTTCAGGACAAGATCCATGACTTGCTGAATATTTGGATGGAGAAGGAAGGCAGAGACAGCAGCTTAAACGACCTGCTGAAAGCTTTACTCGATCTAAATCAAAAGGGAACAGCCGAGACCATCAAGGAGAAGGCTGTTCACAACGGTCATTACCATTTATGAGTAATGACCGTTTCTCTGTTTGGACAAAGACACTCATTGTCTGAGTTCTTCAAAGGTCCTTGTTGCTGAAACTTTACAGTATGCACTATTCAGTTGTTATTGAAGTAGGGCTAAACAAGGTCTTTGGAAACAGAGAATCTATGAGCTAGTTAGTCTCTTGGCTAACTCTCTTTCAAGTCTTAAAAGGCCAAACACTGGTGTTTCAACCAGCAGTAGTGAGTTAGCTACTGCCAAGGGTGTTGCCTTTTGAGGTGAGTTGCATATAGCGACTTCATTCTAGTCCAAAAAAAAGTCACTTTAAATGGAGAGCCGAAAGTCCAAAGAACACCACTTAATGTGATCAGGTACTTGCTGCCTCCAAAAAAGTGCCTGCCCTTGTCGTCTATCCACAACGGGTTGGACTAGCAAAGCACAAAGCTACAGACCAAACATGGTGTTCTCTTGGTACTCACCAAGAGCATCGTTTATTGAATCTGCTGCTATTGTAGTTTGAGCACAGGCATTTTCAATGTACTGTATAGCTCTGATGGTGAAAACAGAAAATGACTGAACTTTCACTCTGAAATGGCAGCTTGATTTAGTTTATTGTTTTCAAGGGTTTCTTGGTTTGTCTTGTTCTTCACATGCACTAAACTGAGCTCAGCTTGATTGTTTAATACACTGACTTTGTTTCTCAACATTGTTTTATTCAAGACAACTGGTTTATATGTCCTCAGGAATTAATGTCTTTAATGTGGGCACTGATTGCTGGAACATGTTGAGCTTTAAAGTGCCAAGTTATCCTAAAAAAAACATGAAGTTATGAATAGGAAACAATTCTGTTTTCTGTCTGACTTCACACGTTAAACTTACAGTGTTGTTGGACCATGAATGAACCTGAGTTTTAGCTTATGGTTACACATTTGTCCTGATCACAACATTGACATTTTTTAGAGTTCTGCAGGGATACTTCAAGATACACAGTTTTATATTGTTGACCCCTACAATGCAGTTATCGTTCTAAAAATATAAATAACGAACACAAGGTGGTCGCTCAACTGGAGAGTAAGTGTGCATGTTTGTGCATCACAGTTTCACACTCTAGATCGTGTTAATCTATACAGCGCCCTCTGCTGGTGACAGCCAGAAAGAGAACTGCTAGTGTAATCCAATGATACACAAATGAAATGCTACTGGTGAGCAAATCGAGTAATATCGATGAAATTAGCCGACACCGGATAAGCTAGTATCGGCGGATATTATCAGCTGGCTGATTAATCGTCTGGCTCTAGTTTAAACACAATGTTACATAATCTCTTTGTTCTGTTTCTAATGTTTACATGATTCAAAGAGGCCTTTCCTATTTAATAGGATAAGATGTATATCTATATATAGGGTTGCATTGCTGGTTTGTTTTGCAGCACAGCTAACCTAAGGTCCCTGTTGGAGTGACTTTAACTCTACAACTGAGGCACTTATGGCAACACTTGAGCTTATAGCATTTGTGTGCTTATGAGATATAAGAGTGAGTCTGTTTTACAGAGTTACGTTTTATTTTCTACCAAATGCTTAAGGAAGCTGAGGTTGAAACAAAAAGTTCTAAAGCATTAATGGTCTTACACACCACATGACTACACCTAAATAAAACTTGAATGTATTGTTCCTGTAACGATGTGTCAGTGAAGAGTTTGTTGAATCTGACAGCTGCACACGTGTTGTTTTAAGATGTCTTTCCACGTTTTTAAATGAGTTGCTTTGCTGTCTAACTTGTCCATGTGTACCACTGGTCATATTGTTGCAAAAACAAGTTTGTTGTTTGGTCATGTCAACATTGTTGAATTTGCTTACTAAGGTGATAAGTCAGGTTTGTTATGGCAACATTTCTTCTTGAGCAGATGCCGACAAAAAAAAAAATGCCTCTAAGCCAGGAGAGGAAGTTAAAAGTATTTGTTTACATTTTGTATGAACATGTTGCTCTGTTTTATGTACCGGGCGATGTGTAATGGTCAAATCTCTCTGGAAACAAATTTTATTTTTTTCCTGAAGGGATCCTGATGGATAAATAAATGTTGAATAAAGATGAAAAAACCTGACAGCAGTCATTTTATCAAATGCCCTGAAAAATATGGTGGCACAGAAACTGTTTGGAAATCAAGTCTTTCTCAAGCTTAAATAATGAGCTGCTCTCCCAAGGATGAGAAATGAAGAGCATGAGGTTAATGATTAAACTCAAAACACTCTTGCTATCTCGGCACCTTCAACTGTTCATGGTCGCCTGCTTAAAGCGTAAATGATCTGTCAACTTCAATGTTTGCTAATAAAGATCTGCTCCATAATTTAGTCTGTTTTGTCATTTTTTTCAAATGTGTGTGTATTATGTATGCACCCTTTATGGTGGGTAAGGGGTTAGGGTTGCAATGTTGAAATAAGGGCTTTCAAACAATTAAAACATTTCAGCAGTTAAACACGATAAATCACATTTTTAATGTTTGAAAGTACATTATTTTGTGCTTAAAAATAAATTTAAAAAAGCTTTTATTTTGAAATGTTCTGTCTTAAGTGTACTTTACTTGCTGTTTAAATTTAACCCTGCTTTTATCTTGAAATTAAGTTTCAAGACAGGAACCAAAGAAAATCCTTGAGCACTCAAATCACTTGAGGCAAATTGAATAAAGGTGCATTAATGTTACGACACTGCGTGAAGATTGTATTCCCCCATGTGAAAGCATTACGCTTCCATATAAACATAAACATACAAGTTTAATGCTTGCATCTTTTTAGGAGACACAGAGTGGAACACTAAACCTTCAAATGCAGAAAACACTTCACCTCACACAGCAGTAAGGCACCTTTTTTTTCTTCTTCTTCTTCTTCTTCTTCTTCTTCTTCTTCTTCTTCTTCTTCTTCTTCTTCTGCCTCCAGGGGGAGCTAAAACACAACCGAAGTCAGACAACCAAACCAAATGCCCTCCCCCTTTAGTAAAGCTTCTTTACACTTTGGATAACATGCAGTCATATCAGTCACAGACAGCAACTCCTCACGTGAGGGAGGCAACACAGTTTCTAAAGTCAGGGGGCTCCTCCTAATATAACAGTGCTAGAGACTGGGGACCCCCATGGTCCCTGGAGCTGGTTAAACATTTAACGTTGCGCACAGTCACGCGCACTATTAGGCCTATCCAAACACTGGAATTAGAACAACTCACAAAAGCCCAAACAACGTCATATCATTTTTTGTAATTTATTGTAATAAACGTATTTTTTTGTATATACTGTATTTTTACAATAACAGGTAAAATATCCCATTTTAAATCATTTTTTTGGAAGGAATCTCGTGACCCCCCTTACCTTGTCACCTATCAACTGTATTGTTGAAATGGCTATTAATAGACTTAATACACTTGAACTTGTCCCTGTCTTAAGTTATTTCATCTGAAGTATATTTCTTGGCTTTTTACTGGACATAAAGACGCTTTTCATGTTTTTTACTGCCTAAAATGATTTTTTTTTTTTGCTACTTGTTCTATATTTCATGTTAGTACTTGGGTCCTGTTCAGTGTCATTGGTTTCAGTGCAGAAATGACTTTATTTCTCAAAGTGTATTAATAGCCTAAAGTTTGTCATCCCATGAATCATTAAGGCTGAACATATGAATTCAATTATTACCATTTCAGAATCATTATTATAAAATGTCGATATCAACGTTTGGAGAGTTGCTGGATGTGCAACCCGAGTAAGACTACATTTCCCATGAGGCACTGCGCTGTCAATAAGGAAATGCTTTATTTTCTCAAAATGAAATTACTTAACTCGTATGAGCAGTTGTTGTTATTCACAACACTAAAGTTCACACACAGCAGGTGGAGTGTGTGTTAAAGAGGAAGACGTCTATTTGCTGGTTGAACACGTTTTCTGTTTAGATCTACGCCAACAGCAGGAAGGGACGATAGGTATGACTACACGTCTTTATATGTAACACACATTATCATGAAATGATAAAGAAGAGGCGCACCAGCCGCTCATGAATTTAGATATTCAATATTGGCACTCTTCATTTCAGTAGACTGAAAAATATTTACTTTGAATGATTCAGTCGTTAATTTGTAAATTTGAAACAACTTCGTCAGGTTAGAAATGAAAATGTGTCTCGTGTCCAGTTTGACCTGTTTTGACTTTTGACATCAGTAAAAACACCCTGAATGTTTCAGCCTGAAAGCAACTACACACGATTGTTTCTTTAATTTAATATTTCTGTATATCTGTAGCTGTTTGTACATTTGACTCTGGTATCAAATCAAGGAGTAAACACTGCAAAACCCAAATCTAAGCAAGTGTTTTTGTTTATTTTCTTGTTTAAAATATTTAATTATGCATTTTTTAAGCCACATTCTGCGGACAAGTCCAGATAATAATCTTATCAAGAAGTGAAAATAAAAAATAAGGACTGAAATAGGTGGTAATAAGTATTAATGTCTGCCAAATATGAAGCAAAATGTACTTTGAAAGATTTATTATTCTAAATAAGTAAAGTAGATCTTTTTCAAGGAACTCAACTAGACTTGTTCTTGCCCCTTCTGAAGATTGTTTTTGCTTACTACTTACTTTTTGCTTGGATTTGAGTTTTGGCAGTGTTCTGCTTTTATGTTGTCCGTGGTGGTTTTATGCTGGTTTTAGGGGATCTTGAATCTGTCCGCTGTCTGTGTGCGTCTTTTATGAGATAGTATAGTGACAGAGTTTAAGATGGACCTTGACACTGTCACAGGATCTGCCCACGTTCACACCACATGTGAATCACAGAGCTCCTGCAGACACAGACACCTGTTGGTCTTTGAAGAGTCATGGGGGGAGTCTCGTGATCATCATATATGGTGCACTTAAGAACGAGAAGTCTTACTGAGGTCAAAGGAGGCCATGACACAGTTACGAGATCTGCACCTGCAAGCATGGACACCTGCAACGTAACAAAATAATCTCAAGTCAAACTCATGAGAATCCATGAACTCTGAGATAACTGAGATCTAAACAGAGATCAGAAGAGGTGTCGGGTCATAAGATTATTAAAGTACCTGAGCTGCCACTGAAGTGACTGAGGTTATGACAGCAGAGCTTGAGACTGTGCATGAGGCCGATGATCTGATCCTCCAACAGGAGGAAGCAGATATAACTCTGAGTGATGGTGATTCAGGAAGACAACATGTCTGTTTGTTTACAATAATCATTTTAACATCATGTGTGCTAAGTGTTCATTTATTTTGAAATTATAGTTAACGGTAAGAATTAGGAGGATTCTTTTTTTAAGGTTTATTTTTTGGGCTTTTTATATCTTCAGTAGGGCCCGACAGATATGAGAATTTTTGGCACCGATATCAGGAAGAGAAAAAAATCAGATACCAATATCTTTCTCAGATCTATCCTCAACCTGTAGAGATAGATACATATAGATTCAGATATATACTTCTTTGCATTGTTCCCTCAAATGCAGTTATCACTTGCACACTCTGCTCATGTGGGAAAGAAAGAGAAATGCTAGTGTGTAGGACAGAGATATATCGCCGCATATCTGTGATAATTAAATTGCCGAGACCGATAGTTACTGCACATGCTAATATCGACTGGCCGATTATTCAGTCGGGCTCTATTTTAGAGACAGGACAGTGCTTAGAGTCCAAAACCGGGGACAGACAGAGAATGGGGAATGACATGCAGTAAAGGAGGTCAGATTCAAACATGGGACACCTGCTAACCGCTAGGCTACCGGCGCCCCCTGGAGGAGGATTTTATTTGATGTTATGGCATTATGGACAGTGTGTTTACATTTATAGTGGTTACACATGCTCATATTATAAACCCCAAAACTTCCATGGATGTTCTTCCCATTTTCAGTTTCAGTAACAATATTTTAAACTGTTATGTGTTCAGCTCTTTAGTTAAATAGGAAGTGATATTGATATAGTGTGATGGTCCATAAACGTGCGGTGTCAAACAAAAACACCCCGCCCGCTCTCTCAAACATTAAGTAAGGATTAATTATCTGTTTTTTAATGTCAAACAGACTATGTATGTTACGCCCTGCCCGCTACCCTCCAATAACGCTCAGGCACGCAGCACCGCCTTCCGTCCAATCACAGGCAGTCTTTTCCCAATCGTGGGCGGGTATACCTGCAGCGCAGCACAGACAGACAGACTCACGTACAAGAAAAGAGTACAAAGCCCCACAAATAATAAACACAGCACACATTTGAATACACATGTGACTCACAGTTACAGCAGAAATAGTTTAAAATGTGGTATAGAAAGTTGTCGTGAGGGGATTTCTGATGTTTGAGCCGGACTATACTCTGAAGGCGTAGAATATGAACAGCATGTAAGGGATATGGTTGTCTGAGAAGAGAGTTGTATATCTGGATGCCAAGATTCATCTAATCACAGGCCCAAAAAAAACGTTTCATCTCATTTGTAAGCAGCAGATGTTCCTCTTCCTCTAACTGCCTCCCTCTCAGAGACAACAATACTACCGCTGAATGTGGAAGTGAGAATTCATCTGAGCGGGAGGAACAAGAAGTGAGAATAAATAGGATTGTGAGTATCAGAGAGAGAGTGACCACATAATAAAAGATGATGTAAAGCAACAGCTTCATGAGATGGTGTTCAGATTAAATTCAGCCAGGGGGCGTATACAGACTTTTTTTTTCTTAACTGGGGTGGACCACATGGGCCGCTGACTAATGCAGGCAAATAATAAGCAAAATGTACTTTTAAAGATTTATTATTCTAAATAAGTAAAGTAGATCTTATTTCAAGGAACTCAACTAGACTTTTTCTTGCCCCTTCTGAAGATTTTTTTTGCTTACTACTTACTTTTTGCTTGGATTTGAGTTTTGGCAGTGTTCTGCTTTTATGTTGTCCGTGGTGGTTTTATGCTGGTTTTAGGGGATCTTGAATCTGTCCGCTGTCTGTGTGCGTCTTTTATGAGATAGTATAGTGACAGAGTTTAAGAGGGACCTTGACACTGTCACGGGATCTGCCCACGTTCACACCACATGTGAATCACAGACACCTGATGATGACCGCTCATGATGTTTGTGGGCACACGCACGCAGGTGAATAGCATTTTGTTATCTCTTTCTATCCTCACTAATTGTATGTAAGCAAAACAAAAATCACAACGTGTAAATCTTCTTAGCTTGATTCTTTCGGGTCTTAAAAAAAACAAAGAAGTGCAAAGTCACAATTTTACTCACAAAGCTGCACACAAACTTTTACTATCTGTTTAAATTGCAGAAATTCATGTGTTGGCAATAAGTCCTTTGCATGTTAGACAGTATACACGAGTAAGTACTAACAATAGGTCGGTTGAAAACAGCCTGAATAGCAGTGCTGTAGTACTCGAAAGTGGTCTCAAGACCGGTCTCTAGACCACTTTTTGAAGGTGTCGATCTCGTCTCTGAATCGGAAGCATTTTTACTCGGTCTTGTCTCGTTCTCAGACTGGGCGGACTCCGGATTTTAAATCATCAAGACCAGTCAAGATCACGACTGGTAGACTCTTTTTTACACGTCATTACTGTGATTGGAAGGAAAACGCAGCTTTCTAAATGAACAATTAATAATAATTAATACATAATTTGATTTGTATCACCCGGTTACCGTGACAACCGTCCCCTTTTTACAATGCGGTGCACACAAGATGATACTTTTTCATTAATATTTATGGTCTTGGTCTTGACTCTGTCTTGATCCCTAAATGTCTTGGTCTTGGTCTTGGTCTTGGTCTTGGTCTTGTCTTGGTCTCAGAGCACTCTGGTCTCCAGTATGTCTTGGTCTCGTTTACTGTGGTCTTGACTACAACACTACTGAATAGTTGATTTGTACTTAAGTCCCGCCTCTGATTAGTCAAAGAGATAATCATAGGCTTGGATTTGGGGATGGCCAATCAGATTTCAATGGGGGGGCAATGCCACACCTGCCCCCCGGACACGCCCCTCTAGTCAGCGTTGTACTAGTAGGAAGTGTTGTCAGTCACACGGCAGCTGTGGACGAGGTAAGGCAACACTCACCAACATCTCTGATGATAATCAAACCTTCAGATTCTGAGGAGTTTGGGGAATTTTCTGACATTTTTTAAAATCACTTCTTATCTATTAAGTATGTATTTGTTGAATGAAAGTTGTTCAAAGTCATTTTTAATGCCTTCTTGCACGACTTACAATCTCTGATCCTCCTTACTGTGAGGTGAACATTTTATAGGTTTGCTTTTATTGATCTATCCCTTCCTGTTGTCATTTTATTGCTTTTAATCCTGTCATCCATTCCTACTCCTTCTCTTAATGTTTAACCCTCCTGTCCTCTGTTGCTCTCTCTCTCCTCTCTTGATCCCTGCTTGTGTTGTTCTTACTCTCTGATGTGCATCACTTTGGATAAAAACATCTGCTGAATGAATTGTAGAAGTTTGGCACAAAGCAGTAACATGACTCTGTGTGTCTTTTTTTGATTCTGTTCCTTTAGCCTGCAGATCAGATTCTTCTAGGATGAGGCCCACTGTGAGCTTCTACACATGCTTCGTCCTCAGCCTGTGCCTGGGCCTGGCGTGTGTGGTGTGTGTGAGTGTATGGAACAGTCACTGGCGTGGAGGATTTGCCTGGGACAGCTCCAGCCTGCAGTTCAACTGGCATCCAGTCCTGATGGTGACAGGTCTGGTTGTGCTGTATGGTATCGGTAAGTGTCTGTTTTTCTAATTTAGAAACTGAGAGTTTCAGTTCTGCTTCTTACTTTTGTTTCTTCTTAAATACTATATTTATTCCAGTATTGAAGCACGCCGTGTTTCCCCCATGAGGTCGAGGCCAATGGTGCTTTTGGACGTCTATAAATAGCTTTCATTCCTACTGTAAAATTAAAAAAAAGTAAAATTTAAATATATTGTTGGTTACGTTAATGTGTTTATGCAAGATGAACTTCTTTTTCAGTCTGCCAGAGCAGCGAGTCAGTGGTGTCTGAACTGCTGCTGTTTGTGCAGTTGATGTATTCACACCATAGACTGTTAATATTAAAGTCAGGGTTTTTTATTTTCTCCAGATCCACTTTTTAAGATTTTGGTTGAAATTGTCTTTAGGTCCTGACAGAAATTAATAACTCATGTTCTCTGAAAAAAGAACAAAGAAAATCCATCATATGCAGCACCTGTAAGTCTGTAAAAACTTCAACCAATGTCTGCCACAAGGTACCAATCTGATGAACCAATCACAGCCTCCCTGTCTCCCTGCTCGTTCTCTACCTCTTGCATGCACTAGCTCACACTCAAAGCATGAGCTGAGGTCCGCTTCTGGACCAATGGCGCTTGTGCATGTAAGTAAGGGGCGTGGCTTTAGAGGGAGCACTGAGGGAATGCTACTTTCATAATCATGCTAGTTTTCAAAAATTACCAATCCTGCCTTTAATGGATGAAGTCTGAGTGACGTCACCCATCTGTTTCTGCAGGGGGCTCTGAGTCCCATCGATGGTCTTTTCCATTACTACTAGATCAGATTTAAAACTCCTTATTCAAGGTGGAAAAGTGACATATTGCAGCTTTAAATACTTAAAGTTTGACCTCATCAGACCTCTCATAGTAAAGTTATTTTATTTACTTTTAGTCCCTTTAGCTTCAAAACCATTCAGTCCTACATATCCCATTATATAACTTGTGTTTGATTTCATATTTCCAGTTTTTAACAAAGTCTCTGTGAGATTAATTGAGTCCTCAGGTTGGATTTTCAGGTCTGAATTATTAAAAAAAAAAGAAGATTATTTACCACCCTGTGATTAAAGAGCCCTTCAGAGCTAGACAAAAAAAAATCATTCAACTATATTACCCCAAATAGCACATTGTTGTGTCATGTTTTAATAAAGTTTGTATTTTGTCCTGCAGGAGCTGTGTTGTACCGTGTCCCGCTGACCTGGGGTCAGAATAAACTCCCTTGGAAAATCCTGCACGCTGCACTGATGCTCATTTCTCTGGTGCTTTCAATCATCGGGCTCTGCGCTGTATTCGACTTCCACAATGCTAAAAACATTCCCAACCTCTACTCCTTACACAGCTGGATTGGAATCGCTGTTACCGCTCTTTTCGCCATACAGGTATGCAAACTCACAGAATGAACACAGAAATAGAACTATTTCTTAGAGATCACATATTATCCTCCTCTTCAATAAGTCTCAGAGCTCCCCAAAACATGTGTGTGAAGTTTCTTGTTCTAAATCCACTCTGATCCTGTATTTGATCATGTCTATAAACCCCTCTATTTCAGCCCTGCTCAGAACAGGCTGTTTCTGTTTCTGTACCTTTAAATATGTAAATGAGCTGTGTCTGACCACGCCCCCTCTCTGGAAGGGTTTGGGCGTACTCGTGCTTTCTCGCTCCATGACCTATTGTTTACGGTGAGAAGGCAGACTCAGAGGGCAGAACAAACACCTAGCTATGGGAGTGTCACCCACCTGGGGGAGGGGTTACTGCCCTTTGTGATGTCATGAAGGGAACATCTCCAAACAGCCTGTTTGAGCACACATTTTATGAAAAGTGGAGCAGACAAAAGACAGAGAGGATGGACTCTTCTCATCATTGGGGGGTTTGTAGACCAACTATTAGTGTTAGGAAAGCATGGTTAAGTGTATTTTACAACATGTGACCTTTAAGTCATGTATGTGTAATGAGGTGGGCGTGGTTATTTCTTATTTGGACACTTTATTGAACTTTGGTTATGTGTCCTTGCTTTTCTTTGTATCTGTGCATGTCTCTGCTTCGCTCCGTTCAGTGGGTGGTTGGTATGGCGGGCTTCCTCCTGCCCTGGTCCCCCACATCACTTCGTGTACTTTTGAAGCCCATACATGTGTGGATGGGAGGAAGCATACTGACCCTCAGCATCGCAGCCTGCATCTCAGGAATCAACGAAAAGCTCTTCTTTGTCTTGTGAGTGCGATGTTTCTGTGTGCTTCTTGGTAATGTTTGTTATATATGAAGATAACAGATTCAAATTTTCCTCTTTAATGTATGTCTCCACAGCTCTAAGAATCCGCCGTATTCCAAGCTTCCACCTGAGGCTGTTTTAGCAAACATGTTAGGAGTTTTGATTGTGGCCTTCGGCATGGTTGTGCTGAAGATTTTGTCCACTCATGAATGGCAGCGACCAGACTCCAGGCCAGAGGACATCAATTACACGGTGAGAACCTTATCCAGCAGATTTGAGAAAAAGACTACAGGATTTATTTACATTAACGTTAACTGTCCTTCTCTGCTCTCCTTTTACAGCCAATCCTTCAAGAAGAAAATGAATGAATCCAGTCTCAAAGCTGCTTGAATCAAACATGCACTATGACAATTTGCTTGAAAAACAGGGTGTGGCTTTGCAGTGTGAGGGTTACGGGTTATCTATTTGAATGTAAACTGAGCTGGTCATAAAACAATTGTTTATACCAACAAGAAACACAACAAATCTTTTCCATCATTGTCATTCCACATATTTTATCATTTAATATATTCTAATGCAGCAATGTGTCAAAGTCAATCATTTCTTATTTCATTCTAATTTAAAGACTAAAAAGGCCATCACGGGTCTCCATATAGCCTAGTGGTTACGTCATGCGCCCCATGTACAGAGGCTATAGTCTTCATCGCAGCGGCTGTGGGTTTGAATCCGACCTCGGCCCTTTGCTCCTGGCAGCTTGACCTTTGGAAACCCCTGTTCATTATCAAATCATATTTTGTGATTAATGTTGATGAATATGAATCCATTCATGTCAGACTCATCATGATGAAGCTGTTTGTCGTGCCCTATATGTAAATATGTATTTGATGTATTAAAGCTTAAAATCTATTTATGATTTTTCTGCTCAACAATAAAAGGTTTTGTCAAAACTGTGTGTCACATGTCTTTGTTTGACTCTGTGTAAGCTCTCCAAAGACTACAGCGTTTACTTCTTACATTTATACTCTATTGGGTGATGTATTTTACATTCTGCACCAAGTACATGATTTACCTGTAACAGTGTATTAACTGGGGGCGCTGGTGGCCCAGTGGTTAATGCGTGCTGCCCATATACAGAGGAATAGTCCCGGGTTGTGGCTCCTTTCCCGCGTGTCATTCCCCACTCATCCTAATTTCCAATTCTCTCCACCGTCCTATCTCTAGAAAAAGAGACAAAACCCTGAAATAAACTTTTTTTTTTAAAATTTATTAACTGAGGGTGAGGATGATCAGTTTGCACACAATCGAAAAGATTGAACGCAATGCCTTTGGTTTTTTGTTTTAGATTTGGTAATCTCCTTTTCTTTATATCCAGGACCAGTTTAAACCAGTTTACAGTTTGAGAAAAAACACACCAGTCCACACACCAGTCCACACATCCGTCCACACACCAGTCCACACACCAGTCCACACACCAGTCCACACATCCGTCCACACACCAGTCCACACACCAGTCCACACACCAGTCCACACACCAGTCCATAGCAGCTCTGTGGCTACTTGGGTTGGAATTATTTGTAAGCAAAGTGAGGATGCCAGTATATGGTCTTGGGCTAATTCCACTCAGTGCTGCAGTTATAACATGAACATCACTCGTATTCTGCCTCTAGCCTTTCTCACAATACATGACCAGGCCTATTTTCAATAATTACTGGGTATTAAGGCTGTTGTATTTTGTGTAACCACAGTTTGGCCGTGGCTCTGCGTAATACATTATATGCCTTATCCACCTTCTGTTACAGTGAGGGTCCCACGTCTCTGGCACCTTTATTTTTGGGGGGTCATGAGCTGAAGCTCAAGTTTGGGAACCCCTGATCTAGATAACATTTTTGATGCACTGTTTTATTTAGCATGAAATTGCATGTAATGTGCACATTTTCTGGCAAATGTTTTCTGGGTAAACGGTGAACGGCCTAACTAATTAAGATGTGTTTGTAGATAGAACAAAGTACAGTTGAGTTAGATAGATTCAGGGTTGATGAAAATGGACAAAATGTGATATGACCTGCAGAAAAAAAGAGAAAGGTCTGCACACTATTCAGCTCTTTCTCTTTTTTTCTGCAGTGAATACATTTCTTTTCTCTGCACATTTGAGCTATGCATTTTGATTGGACGTGCGCACACCAGTTTTCTCCTTGAAAAACTGTGTTATAACATGCAGAGATGTGACGTCATGTGACAGAGAGTGCGCACACAGTTTTACTTATGAGGCTATAGTTTGAACATCAAACAGTTACATATGTAAAGAAAGTGGCCACGTGAGTCTCCCTGTGAGGTCTCAGTGGTGACGTCATGCCACATTATGGATTTATTATTACTAGGCTCCAAATGACCTCCTTGGCATTGGGTCCCACTAAAAGTAGCCTAATTATGGGCTACTGTTAATGTAAGCCAACATTGAATTATAGGCTCTACTTTTTCCTGTAAGACAGACAACACTGTCGCCTCACTCTGTGTCCGCGCTGCGTTCATGAGGGCTCCGCGAGGTTTCCACTTCCCGGGGCCATCTCATCTCTCCGGTGAGCTCATCGAAGAAGAGGTGGGTCCAAGTGGGCGAGGCCCCTCGCAGCCGCAGCTCCGCTCCACAGCCTGAGAGACTTTTGTGTTAGAGAGGGAGTGAAAGTTTAGAGAGCGGGAGGTGAAACAAGTCACTCACTGAAGCCTGTTCGTCTTCTGCCTGGTGCTGCAGCCTGCAGGGAGCTATACCCGACCTAAGGGGGGGGGAAGTCCTCAGCAGCGACACGGAAAGTAAGTCATATCATATTATGCAAAACACACTCGATAAAATCGATTTAAAATCAGATCATGTAAACTAGATGTAGCTATTTGAACAGCAGCCTAACTGCCTAAACAGTATGAAAAAACAGGATGTCTTTGGAGGCAGACAGGCCTATAAAAAATATAACCACAGTATGCCGATGTCAACGTAAAGGTGTGCTGCTCTTCTCTATGTGATATCAAATAGGCTACTGACCCATTTGGGTGTTTTTGTTTCTGATTAGATAAAAAAAAAAAAACATCTCTTTCAGGAGGCTATTTCTGTGCACCGCTGGCATGTCATTAAAAACAAATATTGGTACATTGATAATAATAATAATCCATACTGTCGTTTGTTAACTAATGGAAACAATCGTTTATTTGCAGCCTTTGTTACAGGGCAGGTTATATGTGGATCTATTGGTACATGTGATACAAAAGGCCATTACTCTCTGATATCGGTGAAATTATTGGGGTGGACTTTCTCAAATAGTGTATGATAATGAACTCTCAAGCCCATATTTTCAACTCTCCCCCCAAAGCTTCATCAGAGTGCTTCAAAACGGTGCAGGAGGAGAGCTGTTTGAATCCTGACCTCTTAGCTCAACCACACAGAGAAGGATATGGTTTGATAAACACCCCTAAAATCTGTCCGTGTTTCTGAAGCAAAAACAGGTTTTCCGATTATCAGGACTTTTTTTGAAGACATTTTATTTTGAAGGGGAGCTGACTGTATCATCATCGTGCATATCCCACTTTGTTTGATTGGATGTTTGTAAGTGTCTGCAGCTTGATCCAATAGTCACATTATCTCAGGGTCACCTTGTGCCTGAAAAGTCACGAGTAGTCGTTTGTTGTTTGATTAAACATTTATCCCTCCAGGTTTCATTCTGTATCGTAGGCTTTAGTGTTAACACTGTATGTTTTGCCTTAGTTGAACTTGAGTCTTTATGTGAATGCTGACAGTGTGTTTTTTTTTTCTAATGAACATTGCTGTCTGGACTGACACATTGTGAGCAGACGCTGAGGCCGAGGGTTTCATTCCATCTGTTCATTCTTTAATGTGTGTTGTTTCTAGCTTGTGTAACCACTGCCACGTTACAGTGAGGAAAGTAGAAAGTGTGCAGTTTAAGGATAACTATACTCTCCTGCCAGATGTTTTACTCAAAAGCAAAAGATCCAGGTTTGAACACTGAAGGGGTTTCAGAGAGACCCAGCAGTTTACGAGTCAGCTGTCTGTGTGTTCAGTATGTAATCGTTAAATCAGCCTTTGACTCCAGTGTGATTAGCTGCACTCTCTCTTTTATGGTACAGTAAAGCAGTGTGTCTTTTTTTTCCTCCTGTGTAAGTTTGGCATCATGTTCCCCTTCAGATGTTTGTGCTTGAGTACAGCTTGTTTGGACTCACATAACGCAGAGAAAACTATGCCTTTATTTTAGAGACAGGACAGTGGATAGAGTCAGAAATCAGCGAGATAGAGAGAGAGAGAGAGAGTGGGGAATGACATGCAAGATTGGAGCCGCAGGTCGATTTGAACCCGGGCCACCCGCTTGGAGCACTAAAGCTTCCGATACATGGCGCAGGCGCACTAACCAAAGAAAACTTTTTTAAAGGGGACATATTGTGAAAAATCAACATATATTGAAATGAACATATATTTGGGTAACCTGAGTGTCTACTGACCAACAAAATGTGAAATAAACACATCCAGTCCTTTGTTTGTGGTCTGCATAAGTCTTACAGTCTTCTAATGTGCTCTCCTTGTGATGTCACAGTGGGATTCTGGTAAAAAAAAAAAAAATCCCCTCCCCTCCCCTGATATCTCCACCCATGGACTCCACCCCCAGACAAGAACAAAACTTTTGCGCAGGTTTGCCATTTTTATTCTCACTACAGAGGAGTGATGTCTACCTGGAAAACTCAGGGGGGTCTCATTGTATTTAAAGAGACACACACACCAAAACAGAGCGTTCTGAGAGAGCTGGTTTATACAGGGTCACAAACCTCCTCTGCTGCTTGATTCATGTTATATTTTGACCAAATCACAGCATAGATGTTTCATTTAGACCACAGGGGACTGTTTGAAAAGGTGGAGGAGGGTGAGAATATGTCCTCCTTTAAAATAATCATCCATTGACAAAAAAATATGTTAGCAACTTCACATCATCTGTTGATACATCGCAATCATGATTAAATCCAAACTCTGTATGTTGTTTTAGTCAAACAAGGGCAGCTGTGGCTCAGTGGTAAAGTCGGAATCTCTCAAAGGTAAAGTCGGGAATTTGATCCCCAGCTCCTGCAGCAACATGTCCGTTGGGTCCTCTGGCAGGATACTTAACCCCCAAGTTGCTCCCACTGCTTCGTTGGTGGATGTGAATGGGATGAGTTACTTCTGATGGTCACTTCACAGAGCAGCCTCTACCATCAGTGTGTGAATGTGTAGGTGTGTAGGTGGATTATTTCCACTTTGAGTAGTCAGCTCAAGTAGGGCTGCTGGATTATGGCAAAATGTTTTTTTGATTGATATTGAGATCATGATTATTAACTATGATTACTCGTTTATTTTACAGCACCTTCATCACAAGCATTTATCAAACTTAAATGGTAAATGGTAAATGGACTTGAGCTTGTCACACCTACACATTCACACACTGATGGTAGAGGCTGCTGTGTAAAGAGTCCATCAGAAGTAACTCATCCATTCATGCACATTCATACGCTGCTGACGAAGCAGTGGGAGCAACTTGGGGTTAAGTGTCTTGCTTACACATCTGACATGTTGCTGCAGGAGCTGGGGATCAAACCCTCACTTGCCGGTTGAGAGACGACAACTCTACGAACTGAGTCACAGCACCACTTAAACACTCATTACACTTTAACATTTTGAAACAGGCAAAACAAGTTAATAAACTGTGTTTTTCAGGTAGTGGTGATGTTCTTTTGTGGCCACAATATACCAGCAAACACTGGAACATTTACCACAAATGACAAAACCTGTGATCTAAACAAGCGCAGCACTGCAGCACAGGAACTGTTTTATCTGGATTATCTTCTTTTCATGATCGTGGGAAGCCTAAATCGGATTTGAAATTGAAACTTGATTAATTGTCCAGCCCTTAGCTCAAGTCCTTTTTACCATTTTTATACACTTACACAAGTCTGTGCTAAATCTTTAAAGGAAGTCACATCTTTAACAAACATAAGCATCAGGCTGGATATTTCTTAAAAATTCAGGTTAAGACAGTGCCCTTCAATGGACTGAAAAAAGAAATCGACCCTCAATGCCCCTAATCCTGCTTGAAAGATGAACATTTTGGAAACCCAGGGGGCCAAGTTCTTAACATAGACTACAAGTCACAACCCTGCTGAGATTATCTGGAGGTTCTTAGGCTGTGAAATCTGTAAACTGTCTTTTAATGTTTCCCCTCAAATGAGTTTGAGGTATCTCTTAATTACAACGAGTACGATCTTCAAGAACAGTCTAGGACAGTTTCTAAGAATCTTTACTGATAGCTCCCTCCTCTTTTCTTTTTTCAACAGTTCCAACCAAAATGTTGTGCACCCGGTACCTGCTCTGCTGCACATTCATTGTGTCAGTGTTATTAGAGCTGGCTCTTGCCCAGTACGAGCACCTCGGCTACCCGACAGGCTTCACTGACCAAGTGCAGGAACAGTACACTGCCCCCGCAGCTGTCACCAGACACTCCCAGGATCCAGCTCAGATTGGCGGGAGACAAGAGGAAACACAACGAAGGCCGTGTGGAAGTTTTCTACAACAACGAATGGGGCACTGTCTGTGACGACGACTTCAACATCCATGCGGCTCAGGTGGTGTGCAGGGAGCTGGGCTACATGGAAGCCATCTCTTGGTCACCATCCTCGAAATATGGAAAAGGAGAAGGTTGCAAAACACACACTACAGCAATATCTGTTCTCCATTCAGTATGAAACATAGTCATTATAATGATGTCGTTTCTGGTACTAGTGCAAAAATTCCAGCTTGTGAAAGCACTGATGACTTCTTCTTTTGTTCAGGACCCATCTGGTTGGACAACCTCCACTGCACGGGAAGAGAAAAGACGTTGGCACTGTGTCCCTCCAATGGGATTGGTGTTTCTGACTGTAAACACAGTGAGGACGTAGGTGTCGTCTGCAGTGATAAGAGGATCCCTGGATTCAAATTCATCAACACACTGCCCAACCATGTAGAGGTAAATATACACGGCCTTACAAACTGTATCAAGCTTTGTTTAGCCCGATGGTTTGATGGACTGTTTTGGTTTTCTGGGGGTGTGCTGAGGTAGTGCTCAAACAAAGGGGCTTGGGCGCTGTGAATTTTCTCTTATATATTGTGCCTTTACCTCAATGTTTTTTTTTTTTTAACTTGGTTCTCTTCAAATTTGTGAAATGACGTGGAGCAAATGTACCCGTCTTCTACGCTGACCAACATCTCCAGTGGCTAATTTTCTTCTGAACTGTTGGTGGAAGACCACTGGTTCTTTCAGGCTGATACCATTGGTTTTCGCCTGGCTTATAGAAGATAAAACATAAAACAGGTGCTTCATCCACTCGGTGCAGTGAACACAACACATGGCAGCCTCTGTGCCTTAACTTTTACTGTAACTTCACCCATGGAGAGTCTTTTGCTGATCTGTGTTGTTCTGTAATTCACAAAAAGGAGAGACTTAATTACTATCACAAACCAGCCAGGTCATGTTACATTTTACCCATGAGACTACTTCCTTAAGAACAGTTGGACAGTTCCAACGGACGCTCAGTCAACACTCCATCAGCTTCCAGATGAAGTTTGAGGCCTTACTTTAAAGATAAACACCAATGAAAACTCGGTTTATAAGACATTGTACTGACTAACGTTTGGCCAATCATAAGGAAGAATCCATGGCAAAGGCGATTATTTTTGTCACCTTTTCAGCCTCCTGAAAGCCATTTGACTTACCGACTTAGCTTCTTTTTTCTAGTTCTTCTGTGAAAGCAACACAAGATTATTATTATATATTTATTATTATTTGGCAAAATCACAAGAGTAACAGAGTCCCTACTATTGGTCATATCAAACTATCACACCCTCGACTTGTAGACTCGAAGCTGAAGCTGAGATATCCATGATGACATCACTGAAGTATTTCTCAAAGCTTCTCAAATGTCACAGAGATGTTGCTCTGAGCTATTTGTCCCAAAAAGCAGATCTTTGTTATCTTTGTGCTCACTGTGAAGGCCTCAAATATCCACATTCCAGTGTAATGAGTAAACGGCAGACCAGAGTGAACTCTCTGTCTGACTGACCATCTCCTCTGCTTCTTTGTAAAGTTTTAAAGGTCACATACTATTCAAAATACACTGAATGTTTTTCTTAAACTATACATGTCCCTAACTTGTCTACAAACCCCCCAATGGTGAGAAAAGTCCATCCTCTCTGTCCTTAGCCTGCTCCACTTTTCAGAAAATGTGTGCTCAAACAGTCCATTTGGAGATTTTCCCTTTATGACATCACAAAGGGCAGTAGCCCCTCCCCCAGGTGGGTGACATGCACTCCCACAGCTAGGTGTTTGTTCTGCCCTCTGAGTCAGCCTTCTCACCGTAAACAATAGGGCGTGGTGCGAAATAGCCTGAGCCACCCAAGCCCTTCCAGAGAGGGGGCGTGGTCAGACACAGCTCTTTTACATATTTAAAGGTACAGACACAGAAACAGCCTGTTCTGAGCAGGGCTGAAATAGAGGAGTTTATAGACATGATCAAATACAGGATCAGAGTGGATTTAGAACTGGAAGAAACTTCACCCACATGTTTTGGGGAGCTCTGAGCTTTACAACTTTTAAAGTGGCACAGCAGAACTTTTCTTTCCTCAAACAGTTGGCAGGAGTTAGAGGTTGGTGTAAGGTTGAATTGAAAATAAATATTCATTGAGTCTCTGAGCTTGTCCGTCTGACTGCAGAGTAAGTGAAAATTGGCTGATTCAATGTGTTTGTAGCTGTAATAGCACTGTCTGTGAAAACAGTCCAAACTGGTTAATCAAAGAGTTGAACTTAAACAGAACGATCCCCTCTCAGCTCAGTGTGGAGCCTCCAACTTTACTGTTTCGATTCCCTCCCACCACTCTCTGAAGCATCATATTCAGCATGTGTAAATGTTCTGCAAACCTTCTGTCTACTAGTTACTCAGCACCAAATGACCGACAGACACTGTTAGCATCTCGCTGGTGAAAATAGTGGAGCCATAGAGCTAACAAATAAGGGTCCTTCATAACAGCTTGATTTGTACATCTGCAACTGTTTGCAAACAAGCAAACCATATAACCTCAAAGGATATATCAGTGTAACATCTGAAAATACCTTCACTTTCTCACTTTCTTCCTTTTTTTACGGCTCTGTTATGATTTGATGAACGATATGTGTTATCCATAGTTAGGAGTGTAGCTGACATGATTGACAGGTGGGCGCGATGTAACGGTTCGTCAAGAGGCTTAAACCCCGCCTCAGCTCCAGCTCTCAGCCTGTTGTTAGGTTGACTGAAAGTTAGACTGAGACAGGATTTCCAGCATTGCGGCTGCTGATGATGATCCTCTGGAGCCCCCTGCAGGAACAGAAGGGTGACGTCACTCAGGCTTCATCCGTTAATATTTACAGTCTATACGTAGCCTGAAACCTGACGTCAGGTTCTGGCCAAGTCTCGGAAAGTCCTTGTAACTTCTCGTTCACAGCGGCAGTAAACCATGTTCGGGGATTACACCAACAACTGAGTATCTTGTGTTTTAAAAAAAAAAAAAAATCTGTGGTTTATTATGGACATCCAACATTGTATCATTATACAGTTTGTATTTAAATATGGATCAGCAGAATAGATCTCCTTTAAGAGGACATGAAAACCAATGTTGACTGGAGTGACAAGTCTTAAGACATTTTTCAAACTTCGTCATACAGCACTTTTTTTCAAATACAAATTCCTTTTTCACAGTGCTCAAACAAAACCCACCCTAGTCTTGTGAGTCTGCATTGCTGCTTTGTAGATGTTGTGGTACATGTATCCGACTTCCCCTACAGAGGTTTACAGAGACAGACTGTACAGATTATGAATCTCTGGGGGCATGGTCGATGTCCGGAGTCAAGCTGGGATAGTAGCTGAAGGAATAGAAACGGACTCAGCTTTTCCATTCCCTAAAAGAAATCACGTGGGCTGTGTGCATGTAAAACACAGCCACCCTCTGTGCCGCCACTCAGCCGGCCCTTACCTCATCGTTTTGGAAGTGGTACTGTAATGTGTCACGTTTTTTGCTGGCAGTTTTGTGGAATAGGATAATTACAGGGCTTTCAGAGCGGTTAGGTTAGCCATCATGTGTAAGAGGCTCAACTTCCCTCTCAGGTGATGGGCCGCTTCAGTACAGCAGCTGGTCGACCACAAAGGAAACACCCACAGAGTGAGCTAAGAAGGAGGTGAAACTTGAAGCCTTTGCATGCACGTGTAACTGACCTTTGACCTCTGTGCACAGATTCCATTCAGGGACTGCATTGTCTTCTGAAATAGTTCAAATAACAGGGCGCTGGTCTAGCTCAGTTTGTAAAGCATCCCATGTACAATGGCTACAGTCCTGGTCGCACTGGTAGGCGGTTCAGCTCCCAGTCCTGTCGAGATTTGGTGCACATCATCCCCCACTCTCTCTCTCACTCTCTCTCTCCCAGTGTTTCCTGTCTCCCTTATCAAATTAAGACTAGAAGCCTTAAATAACAGACGTTTTCTCTTCTGAACATTGCCTGTTTTTTGACGGCCTCGTAAACGGGCAGAGAATAAACATCTCGTGCCTTAAATATGCCTCTTTGTGTTCCTGGCTCTGCACTGACTTCAGCGGCTGTATATTTAGCATCGTGTCTCAGTCAGCTTTAGAGTAAACAACACAGAATGACAGCCAGTGTTCAATTCTTCGTCTCTGGAACATTTTCTGTGGTATTTCTCTGCTAGCTATTTATATATATATTCCTGTCACATTATGGGGAAGTCTCCTGCCTCACCTCTTGGTTTTGGGTATGCAGAAGTGGCTACAGGGAATGATGGCGCTCTGACCAGTGATCACACCACATGGCTAACGATCCATTTCAAACTTCAGTTCAACATGAGGAAACTCCAGGGTCTATGAAATGTAATGCTTGGCAGTGTGTGTGTGTTTCTGCACGGTCCAACATGCCGCCTCACTTATCCCAATCATCTGAACAGTTAGTGCATATTAGTTAGTCATATTTCTAAACCTGATTTATTCAAGTCAGCCCTCAGAAAGGAAAAATAAGCAGTAAACACCGACTTGACGAGCAGCGGTTTGAGCGGAATATTCCTGGTGATTAGACCTTAAACGCACGGTAAGTAAACTCCACCACCAGGGGGCTCTCAATCAAAACAATAACAAAAGCTGACGCCGCTACGATCCCCGTGCATGCAATTTAAACGGCTGCATTACGTTTTCTGTTCGTCAATATGTTGTTCTCCACTTTTGAGTTCATATTGTGATTCTGTTTAATTACACATAGCATTGATATAAAGGAAAGTATTCTCATTATAGCAACTTATAGCGGACTCTGTGGCTTCGTCTGCTGGGATAGTCTACCGCTGTGAGAGGAGCATATCTGAACAGCCAGGTTGAGGCAGTCCTCCTGAAACCGTCTAGATATTTTCAGGAGTGTATATGTGAAAACGGCTGCTGTCTTATTCGGACCAATCTTCTTTGGGCATCATGCTAGAACAGGTAGCCATGCTCTCTGTCTGTGCAGATGATCAGACCAAAGTAAATCTTTAGTGTCCTTTCCGCCGCTCTATCTCTCAGAGGTAGATTACAGGCTGCGCAAACCCCAAACCGAGTTTACGGCTCCCATTTTCCAGTCGTGTGGTTATTTTCTTTCCCTCTGAGGCCTGAAGGCTAAATCATCAACTTTCTTCCGTGTAAACCTCCAGTCATGCTGTGGTAGGGTGCCATAAATTCCTTGTCAGCCCTTTAGCACACTTCACACTGTGATCCTGAATTAATACACCACTTCCCTTTGTGTCACAATCTTGAAATGATTGAAAGTGTTAATTTTCACAAAGCTGATAGATATTTCTGCTGCTATGTAAAACATTTCACAGACACAACATTCCTGCAGTGCAACGTGGACGGATGTTTGTTCCCTGGAGATTATAAGATGTTACTCTCAGTCAGATATCTGTGTGAATA